AGGAAAACGAGGATTTAATTTTTCCTTATTCCATGCACTGACTCCTAATCTAAGGACTAAAACAGAGAGCAAAAAAACGTATTTTTTTTCTATTTGTGAAAATGCATTAATCTAATCTTTCTTATCTACTAGCAGAAATTCTTAAAAGCACCATGTCTAAGTCCACAATTAACTTTGCAGTCAATTTTTAAATTACTAGTCAAGTTTCACCACACAATTTACTTTTTTAAGGTTAACTATTTCTTGGGTCTCTGTTCTCAGATGAGATACAGTTTCCTTTTCCTTCTGAAGATCATCCTCTAGGGTTTGCCGCCACTCTTTTTCTATCTTCAAATCTGTTTCCAGCTGAAGTCTAGAATATGCAAAACAACCAAAACCGTCACTGTGCACAAGAGTACAATTTTTAAAAAAACAAAAATGAGTTTTCTGCGTGCAATATACTATTATGATAATAAACAAATGATCAACTCTCACTTAATCTAAAGCAGAAATAATATAACAGTAACATAATATTTTAGACAGTGGTGTAACAAACCAACCAAAACTATCACTTAGAAAATGCTTTCGAAAAGAATTGCATCTAAAGGGCCAAGAATATGGCATAATTTTGAAGAGCTGATCTTTGTAATAAATTAGCAAGAGATTAACCACAAAATTCAAAAGTATTTTTGAAACATGCATAAGGCAAAGCCCCCTTAACCTCACATAGCTTGTTTCTAAAATAAAGCAAACCAACCACACTGCCATTGGTGATGCAGACAATGATTGCATATATCTCTGATGCTTACAAAAGTAATTTAACATTATACCCTTAGATGTGAATCTTCTGTATTAGACTTAGGCTTATGGCATTTTGAACAGAACTGAAAATAAAGGAGGAAGGACTTTAAATGACTATTTTTAATGAGCTTTTTACACAGCTGAGGTTCAACGTAAAGAGGGATCTAAATTCTATTACTTTAACTGGAGTCCAGTTAAAGGAGTTAGGGCTACTCTATCAGAAGATCCACTCTATCTGGAATTTTCATGGAAGTCTTGGTGTTTAGAATGTTACAGAGAAACCAAAAGATGGAGCACACTGCTCAACCTTCTAGATCTAAATTGTGCCAACAGAATAAAAGAGGAAAAAAATCTGAGAGCAGTCATGCAAGGGTTTTTTGATGGAAAACCTGTATTTATATTAATTTTCCTGTTTTAAAACCAAAACCATTTTTAAAGGTAAGACTTACATTTTGGGACACTACCTCAGCATCTGGCTGGAAAAGATCAGAAGTGAACATGACCTTGAGATTTCAGAATTGCAGAATTCTAAGGCTGGGGTCTGAACTGTTCTTTTGCCAAAATCTGCAAAGATGACTGTGTAGTAAAGCGAACATTTGTCATGACAATTAAACAAGTTTATTAACACTCAGAATTGTAAGAGAGGCAGGGTGGGCTAATAATTGGATTGGAAATCACTAATTTTTGATCCCAAATCCTTGTCGGGCACTGCTAAAATAATTTACTTCTTATCTTCCTGAAGAGGGACAAAACCTATTCTTACAGGGAGCTTTTTACATTACATATTTATTTAAATCAGTACTGAAGGATTTAACATTAGAAAGACTAAAGGGCTGGCTTTTATATTACTTTTTAATGTTTATGACTCCAGTGAATTTTTATTTTTTATTTCCTACACAGTGGTGAGTTAAACACTTCCACCTTATGCATAAGCCTGATTAATTGAACTATTCTTATGTCATTTCTATTTTAAGTTTGTACTACTATATACTTGTGGGTTTGGTTAGTCAGTGTGTATTACTACTACTACATATTTTGCCCCACTTAAGATAATTTCCTCATGAATTAAGCTGGCACTTTTAGACAGAAAATGCTGTTCTTCCCCCTCCTTTCAAGCTGCACACCATTTTAGAGGCACCCAAAGGTAGCTTGACTTTCCTGGAGTGGCATATTTTCTTCCACCTTGCAAGTACCTAACATGAAGAACGTTAATATTTACATTCTGTTCAAAACCATTTATCAACAACCAATGTGTATGAAGACACAGGACATGTTGCAATGTAGAATGTTTACTGGTGTATATTTTTCCAAACAGGAAAGATGTACTTACAGCTGTTTCTCCTTCTGGGAGAATTCTTTCTGCAGACTTTCAGATTTATTCACATATTCCTGTTTAAGTTTCTCATCCTCAGCCTCAGCGTCCATTTGAGCCTTCTCTGCTTGCTGCAATCTGGTGTAATTCAAATCAACTTTGGGTAAAACTGAAGCTAGAACTAGGGTGTAGAGGGTGAAGAAGACAAATAAAAGAAAAAATGGGGAAATAGAAATATTTCTAAATAAAAATAAAGTTTGGGGGAAACTCACAAACTCAAACGAGAAATCCATACAATGCCTACAGAACTAGCTCCTGTTTTTTTCATACAGTAAGAGAGTAATCACTGTAAGTAATCACTGTTTTATTTTATGCTCATGAATAACAGATGCCAAAGCATAATGATACATATTTTAGAATTGAAGCATATACCTTCCTTGATGCTTTTTTTTTTTGGAAGCTTTTTTCTTCCCTCCAAATAAAACTTGTAAAAGCACTTGGTTTGTACTAATGACCCATTAAGACAGGGCAGACCATGTGTTGTGCAAAAGCAGCTCAAAACAATTCAGGCTTAAGACTGAATACAGAGCACTGCAATCAAATAGCAAAAAATCTTAACTAGCCTAATACAAGATGACACACCCTGACATGTCCCACTACATTACTAGAACTACCTCTACTACATCATACTATTCAATTAATTTAAATAATCTGTATTAAAAATAATGCATTCTTACACTGGTTAAAATAGCTCCATATTATAGACAAAATAAATAAAACTGATTAATCAAGAAATTGGGGATTGTTTGGGGTTTTTTTTAATTTAATCTTTCCCTTCTGAATTCCAGGGTTTTGCTTCTACTTCAGCTAGCACTCCCCTTGGAATCCATTAGTTCAGTGTGGTTCCTCTCTGCTTGGTCAACTCTTCAGTTCAAAAAAAGATGATGTAACAAAAGTGAAAGTACTAAAATGGAACTTGTGCTATATCATGGCTACACTTGTCTTGATGAAAGGGTAGGAGAGTAAAAGAGCCTGTAAAATACCACTGAATGTCCCCACCTGCTGCATTGTGTTTAATAAAACTGTTTTGAGGGCCTCTCAGGTAAGTGGTGAGAGAAACCTGTGATACTCTGTGCTTGATTTCTCACTTCCCAGCAGCTAGCTGAATGTGGAGTAACTCACAACTCCCAATGTCAGCTAAAAAGAAATTAAGTCAGCAATATGTCTACATTTGTGCTTCTACTGATGAAGCTGCACCAGCAGGAGTTTATAAAGCTGCTAGTACACAAGTGAAAAAAGGCTGGAATTAAACTATCTTATAAAGTGTGTACTATCTCATTCAACAATACCAGTTGTCTTCAGAATGTTCCCAGTCACATCTGCAATGGTAGTGCACCGAGGGCCAAAACATGTATGGAAAGGAGACTACTGGGAAAAAGCAGGGTCAATTCACTGGGCAGAAGCAGCTGAATGAAGCTACACAAGACAGCAACACCAAAAGTAACTCAAACCCCTCCTTTAATCACAAATCAAACTGCAGTGTCATTTCCATGACAAAGGTAGAAAGGGAGTTTGCTAGCCAAACCAAACTACAGCACCAACCTCTAGACTTAGCACCAAGGCTAACTGCAACGCTGTAATTCAGACAAATGCTGAGCTTGACCTAGTTTGCAGCAGGATTTGAGATTCAGATCCTACTGAGGCAGATACTTGTTTGCATAGATGACCGTGAGACAGTTTATGCTTCTATTTCTGTTGTGGTCTACCTGTTGTTCTATTCAGTGTTTCTGGTTTGGGTTTTCTTAAGGATGGGAGATATTTATTTTTCAGTAGCCAGCACATGTTAAAGACTCTTTCTGCTACCAAACCAAGGAATAAGGCAGTATATAATCATGGAGTAGAAACCCTTTCTGAACTACTGTGCCCTGCCTCCACTTTTGCAAACACATCCCCTTCTTTCTGAAAGTCCCTAAGATTCTTTTCCCAGTCAACTTCCCCTCCACACTTCAGAGCAAACACTGGGAAGTGTATCAAAGGCAGTCAGCAGCTATAACTCTATTTCTGCAGTGCAGGAGGTACCAACTCAGAGCAGAAATGAGTTGTGAAGACTGCCTAATGATGGGTGGAGGGAGGGAAAAGGGGTTGGGCAAAACCAGAAGTTATGATTACAGGGTAGATAAAGCCACAGAAGGGCAAGATCCTTAGCTGACAAGCAAGTTAGATAAGTTGAGAATCTTGGCCCTAAATGTAAATCCTATTTATCACTACAACTTCTACTGTAGCTATCATACTGCAGCTGTTCTAGGCAGGAATCACAACTACAGAATTTACTAGAGCGCGCTGCCCTTCCTGCCGGGAGCCAAGTCCAGGCTCCAAACACATTTTAATTCCATGAAAATATTTTACCCCACATCTTTAGCTGTTTTTTCCCCAAACCCTGTAATTCCTCCACTGTATATACTGAACATATATGTCGACACTACACTCTTTTTCTAAATACATTGTTCTGATATATCGCTCAACCCCCTTCCCCCAAACTCCCATCACTCTGTTTAAGAAAACAGTGCTAGTTACAAGCAAAAAAAAAAACAACCCAAAAAAAAAACAAAAAAAAAAAGCATACTTTTGGGATAAATACAGCCTTACAGTGAAAGAAATAAGCAGGGGGGAAGGCATATATTAGTCAGAATAGCTAATTTTAAAATCTGTTAGTAGCATAAAGAATAGGAAAACCCACTAATCAGAAACAAATGTCATAAAAATGTACAAAGATAGCTAACCTTTTAAAATAAACTTTGACAATTAAGAAGTGATTAAACAGCATTAGAAAACTAGCTTACATTTGCTCAACAATAGTGCAGTAGGTTACTTTTTTTTTTTGTTAAGAGAACTAAAGTGAGATCGGAGATGATGTTCTTACAGAAAACGAAACAGAACCCAGCTACGATCAGTTACAGTGCAGGATTTCTAATACCACTTTATATTTAAAGTTGTAATTTTAAATTTCTTAAGTTATATTTTATCAGTGATTATTTAAACACAACAGATCTGGAGGAGCTTTCAGAATGATATGTCTTTGACAAGTTTATACTGGTGCTGAGCTTCATTGCTGGCACATTTGACGAATGACATTGCAATAGTCCTAGTTTGAGTTAACAGATCTTTGTCACTTCATAAATGCAGTGGACAAAAATCAAAGACAGATGAAGACAGCAAAATATTAAAAACAAAAATTGGGATAAAGAATAAAAAGAAAAAGAAAAAAAGAGGAAAAAGGATGTCAATAAAAGAATATTCATGTCACTAAATTTTTTAATACATAGCCATGTTTTTCATAATCAGATTTAAACAAAAAAAAGGACATGTCAAACACCAACATATGACAGGGCTTATGGATATGTTATATTTTACAGTTAAAAAGATCAATGCTGAATATAGGCCACTAAATTAAAATATATGAATCACATTTTAATATTACATAATACATGCAGTCTAACCATAATGTAAATTCATATACTGGAAGGTTAGTCTTTCACTTTTCAGCCTTTCAATGTAAAGAAATCATTATGTCATTGAAAATAATGGTACTTCCAAAGCAATGGACAACAATTTTAATACCTTCAGCAAATACAGCACTGATCCATGAAGGCATTAAATGTTTATATTAAGCACATGCTTAAGTATAAGCAAGATTAATGCTTTGGTTTCTATTGCATTTCATTCAGGTGGGGACAAGGGGGAAGAGGTAATAACAACACAATTTTGGAAACAGCTGAAACAACTTCTGATATCAGCACAAAAACCTAGGACAAGAAAGATGGTAGAAGAAGAAAACTGAAAAATTAAGTTTCTATTTAAAAGCAAGTGTGTATTTTTTAAAGACAAAAAAAAAAAAATCAAACAGTAAAGCACTAGTAAAAGTTTCAAAAATGTTCTTGTTAAACATTCTAGTTGAAAGTTACATTTCAGTGGCAACTGTGTAGGAATGCAGTAAAATGTAAGGGGATGGAAACATGAATGAAGAAAAGCAAAGATGGTCCTGTACCTTTGTTCTAGTTGTTTCATAGTTGCATTAATTTGATTAGTCTTATCCTCTAATCGACCAATTATTTCATTCTTTTCTTTCATAGCATCTTCAGAAACCTGTGTTACAAAAAAAAGTTAAAACTGAAGCAGGTATATATTACACTTTCACCTCACAGGGGTTTTTTCCTCCAGTATCTGAAGGGAAAAATGTTATGGCTTCAGATTTTGTTCATTTTTACACATTCCCATCTAAAAAATGTGGTTGACAGTACTTAAAATTTTACTCGTAAATTCACTGCTCATCTTTTCAAGAAACCAATTGGAACTGTACCAGTAAAGAAGTAAGATGCTTAGTCCTGGAAATCACTAGGGTTCTCCAACTCTTACCAAACTACCATATACACCTAAAAATCTTTTCAGAATTTTACTAACATGTTTCACGATTTTGACTGCTTGCAGAGCTGTTACGACTGTGGCTTGAAGATCAAATAAAAGGTAGAGCATCACACTTGCTGCACAGATCAACACTTATCAACTGGTCCCTAGGCAGCAGAGACTGGGCATGATTAAACTGTTTCACTGTACCCACAAAGTGGGCCTGAATGTCATTAAGTGAAATCAGTGTTACCCCCAGTCCCTAGAAGTACAGATTTAAAAGAAAAACAAAACCCTTCAGATCCGAACATACCGAAAAACATCATTTTTTCCAGTTCTATTTATATTTCGTCTGGTCCAGTTTTGTCACAGCTGCAGGTGCAAAAGTTAGCATCATTTGTCTATCACCTCAATTATCTCTCTACAGCATCCCAGTTTTTTCCTCTTCATTCTGCCACAGATTTGATTGGTTTCTTGTGCTGTTTTTCATAATTTATTCCATAAATAAGATTTATATTCTGCATAAATAAGGTCCTTTCCAACCCTAACTATTGTATGATTCTGTGATTCCCTGGTGTTTGGACATCTGTTAGCTGCATACTGGGTCTCTAAGATCCGTATTTTCCAAAAAAAAAAAAAGCATTGCCTTGTTACAGATTTTCTTAATTTGTTAACAGGTTAAAAAATGAAAACGAAACCAAACTGTAATTAGCTTTTTCCATTTAACACAACCTATTTTCCAAGTGCCTTTCCTTACTTTGAAAGTTCAGATGTCGTCTTCAGCTCATCACTATCTGCCTACATTCTCCTGGTTTTTTATACAACACAGGTCAAAAAGTGTCATTATCACTAGATACACTTTTACTCTCTCTATTCCACACCGCATGTTCTTAGGCCATGAACTTACTCGCATGCTCTTTTCTTCTATAAAGCCACTAACTGACTGTCTTAAGAACTTCTCTGCGTGAAATCATACTTGCATCAAAATGCTCAAAAATCACAAGCCAATGTAAGAAGTGGAAAGAAACCAAAAATTAAGAAAACAGCAGTATTAACTAAATAAAACTGTAACGCATCTCTCAGTCCGAAGTCACTTCATCAGTTTAACAGCAGATTGTTTCTTTACCTGCAGCTTTTGATACATTTCCATGTTAATTGCTTTAACTTCATCCAGCTGCTGCCGAAGGCCTATGAGGGTATCCTGCTTCTCATGGATGTCCTTCTCCAGCAACTTCATGGCAAGTTCTATCTCATGTTTCATACTAACTTGAACCACTAACTCATTCTCCATATCCTATAAAGCACAAAGCCACACAGAATATTTAAATAACTATATAACATTTTATCTCCATTTTGAAAAGACAAAAGCTAACTCTAATAGTGCTGCAGCATCACCTATTCCACCACTTCAGAAATTCTGTCCCTCTTTAACTTTGCAATTTATCCACTACATAAAAGTTACACTCTCCTATACTTAGTGACCAATGTTTTGGGGTTTTTTTAACTTTGGGAGAAGATAACTTTTAAGAAACTACCCTGCCAGTATTGCATAAAATTGCCTAAGTATTAATTACAAAAATAGAACTAAAGGATTTCTGTTTTCACAAGAAATATTTGGCGTACGCACAGAGCATACAGTATTACTAGCAATCTAAAAATTGCTCGAAGAAAATGTATTTTCTTTACTATGCTCTAGCAACAACATTACAGGAATATTTATGTACTGATTGCTCTGTTAAAAATCCCTTCTTATTACAGGCAGTTAAAGAAAAGGCAATTGAAGTTGATGAAAGGCAGCATCTAAGCTCAGCAAAAGCAAAACTAGAAATATTTATATACAGACTCTTCTCAAGCATAATCTTTTCTAGAAGTGCTGTGTGATCCTAGAAAAGAACACTTACTTGTCGAAGTTGTGATTCTTCTCGAAGCTGTCTACGTGCTTCATTGTACATTTCATCTAAACCCTGCCTGGAGTGTTTGTATGTCTGAAGTTCTGCTTCAACATCCACTTTAGTTGCCTACAAAGAGATAGAAAATCTTTCTTCCTCACAAGTTTAGCAATTAATAGCATGAATTTAACACTTGGGGGAAGGGAGGGTGGAACTTCAAAATACATTCTCCAAGCACAGTACAAACATGGAAGAAGTTGTTTCTGCTATGTGGTCATCAGTTTTACAGTGAAAATTTAGTATATCTAGCAAAATAAACATCTATACTGCAGTACAGTCCTCCTTCAGTAAGTCACTCTAACACACAACTGTTCCAGGACTAAGCAATCCAAACATCTGCTTAACCTGTGCTTTTACCAATTATCCTGTGAAACACATACAAGCAGCTACACAAGGAAGTACAAACAACAGCTTTAAAAAAATAGTTCAGCAATTGTATACACAACTACTCCAAATGACATTCCATATAATGAGACAAGTCAGAATAGACATTTGCCAACTAAAACACACGCTATTTTGACAAGGTTTTCAGGTAATACTGCCTTAAATGTTTAGATATAGCTTACAGTCTAATGAAAAAAGGAAGAAGGTAAGAAAATTAGAAAGAATACAAGGAAAAATGCTGCAAAATTTGCATACAGTTATAAAACAATCTAGTGTCCTATAATTTTGACATATTTAAGCTGTTATAAAGCTTCCCAGCTTGCTTCCAGTTATTACATAAGAACATTTGAACGACAATGAACCACACAACATTACTACACTAAATGCTGTAAAACTACTATACCTCCAGATGATGCTGTGTTTTCATTAAAATAAGAGTATTTTCACTCCTTAATTGGTGGTTTTCTTCCTGGAGTTTAATTATATTGTTTTTGGCTATTGCTAACTGAAAAGTTAAGAGAAAAAAAAAGGAAAAAGCAGGGTGACCACTTTTGTGAATGGAAATAAAGAAAAAAACATTCTGATGAATGCAAGACCAAGACATTCTGTGCTCTATTCTCACAGTCTACCAAACTGAGGTTTAATTGTTTTTAAAGAAAACATACAGCTCTTGGGTTTAGTAGGAAGCACTTTCATTACAGAATAGCATGTGCATTCAAGATACTTCATTATTTCACATCTGGTAAAGAATTGCTTATTATGACTTAAAGACTCTCAATTC